AAAAGATCCACTGGAAGAACAGAAGAGGGGAGCTGTTTGGGGGCCTCTCTTTTGAATGAAGCCTCGGGCCTTCTTCAGGGGTCTAACTTCCTGACCTCAGGCCTGACAGAAAGTCCCCGCATAAAGCCGGGAAGGCTAAAGAACATTCTGCAGTGTTGGCCTTGTAAGCTGTGATCATTTTTAAGGTTGATGAGCATAGTTCAATATGAAATGAAGCATGGAACTTGGCATTTATACATTGTGAGTCAATTTTGACATCAGCCTGGACTGGGACTTGACTGGAAGGTTTTGGTGTTGGGCTGTGGCCACACTTCAGCGTCTCGATCCAGAGGTATGCATGAGCAATACTTCCCTTTGGGCTTTGGCCATTAATTTGTGGAATGGAGCAAGAACTGGAGAGGAAAATCGAGAGACTGCCTTGGATTTCCTGACATCCTGTTGAATCAAAAAAGCAGTGGGAGGCCCTTTCCTTCCTGACAAAGGGCTCATCCCCTCTCATGAAATTCCCAGCAGCGGTCTCCATGTTAGGGACAGTCCCTCCTCATCCCGGACTTCAAATCCGCAGGCACCCCTGGGCCAGTATCGGCCTTGTGCCTAGTCCAGGTGTTTTCCAGGCCACTTCCCCAGATTATGTAACTTTGATCAAATCCAGATGCTGCAGAATGTTTGATAGAAGAGGTCAAATGGCACTGGAGAAGAAAAGCATTTCTGTATTCATGACTTTGGTTTAATTTCCTGTGTGGGCTGGGTCTGCCAGAGTTGTGTGCTCATGGCCACGAGGTCGGGACTCCAGAGGGAAGCACGCAAATGTTTTTTCAGGACAGCTCGAGGCTCCTAATCCCCCAGGGTTCTTTTTCACGTTAGATTATCAATTAGGGAAGTGTCACCCGGCTCCTATTTGTGACGGCAGTTTCTCTATTTTTGTAATTGTTTTCTGAATTATAAAAACAGTCCCCATATATTGTGAGAAGTAGGCCATAATATAGAAGAGAATAAAGGAGGGTTTTTAATGTTTGTGGTCCTACCACCCCGTGTTAATAAGTACTGTTCACATTTTGGTGCGGTTCCTTCTGTACTTTTTTCAGTTTTTTTGTTTTGTTTTGTTTTTAAGATTTTATTTATTTGACAGACAGAGATCACAAGTAGGCAGAGAGGCAGGCAGAGAGAGAGGAGGAAGCAGGCTCCCCGCTGAGCAGAGAGCCCGATGAGGGGCTCGATCCCAGGATCCTGGGATCACGACCTGAGCCGAAGGCAGAGGCTTTAACCCACTGAGCCACCCAGGTGCCCCAATAAATGAAATCTTTAGAAAAATATTTTGAATGGCTTATGAATATATTCTGTATTACAGATGGACCACAAGCTGACTTACCTTCTGTTGATATTTTGTACTTTTCTAATTCTGTGCTATTTAAAAATCAGTATATAGGAGCACCTGGGTGGCTCAGTGGGTTAAAGCCTCTGCCTTCGGCTCAGGTCATGATCCCAGGGTCCTGGGATAGAGCCCCACATCGGGCTCTCTGCTCCGCGGGGAGCCTGCTTCCTCCTCTCTCTCTGCCTGCCTCTCTGCCTACTTGTGATCTCTGTCAAATAAATAAAATCTTAAAAAAAAAAAATCAGTATATAGAAATAGTAAATATAGATCTCAGGAGAATTCCTACAAGTGATAAAAGGTTGTGGAATTACCTAAAGATTCGGTTTGTGTTTCCGGTTGCCCTCCTAAAGTGTTGTGGAGATTTCTCCGGGAACCACTACCCTTGTGTGAGTTACGGTTCACCGAAGTCTTACACTGACTTAGCCTCAAGAAAATGTACCTGCCAATTGGATGAAGAATTTGCACTTCTTTGATTACTAGCCAGGGCTAACATGCTTTCTAAGTTCGGGGATAATTTAAATTTTCTGTGAATTGCTTATTCATGGTTTTGGTTCCTGTTTCCATAGTGGAGGGATTTATCTTTTTGTGTTGATATGCAAGAGTTCTTTTATGTCAAGAATCCTCAGTCTAATGGTGTTACTTAATAAAATGACAATAGAAGACTTTTGACCCGCCAGCGAGCTCCACTTCCTGTAAAACCTGCCTCTCCGGTGCCCAGGGCCCATCACCCTCCTCTGCCACTCACTGCTCCAGCCACTCCAAGAGCCAGTTAGATTTCTCTCCAGATCTTCAGTGACACTTGTTTTATTTACTTACTTAGTATGAAACCAGTGAAATGCAGGTGAAAAGAGGACGGTTTCTATCATATTCAGACGGATGCCTTAGACAGGTGATTTTAACATTGCCTCGGGACCAGGTGTGAGTGAGCCAGCTGTGAATATTTGGAAGGGACTGTGGTGGGGTCCCAGAGCTTGAAAATCCAAGTCTTCCTTGCTTGGCCTGCAGGAAACCAAAGCTGGAAGCCAGTGGTGGGGACAAGCTCTGACACAACACATAGCCACCCCTGAAAAGGCAGGCCAGTCCCTGCAGTCGGGGCCAGCGACCCACACACATTCAGGTGCGGATGGTAGATCACACATTTTAATTAAAAGAAAAAAAAGGTTCTCTGCCTTAACTGGCTTTATTTGGTTAACTGATCAGTCCCTGATCATGATGGTGCTGGGTGTGTTTTTAGATCCCGTGTAAGATACTCGGAAGAGCGAGGCCTAACCCATCACGGAGGCTCACACTCTAGGAAGTGGCAGTGTTACAGATCCTCTCCCTTGAATTTCGCTTTGCCCTTATGATTCATACAGAGAGATTACCAAACATAGTAATGACGTAATTTGGGATTTACTCTTTTAGCAAAAACAATTCCTGAAGGTTTACTTCAGTCAGTAGTATGAAAGCTAGAATTGAAAGACCCTTGTTAGGGCGCCTGGGTGGCTCAGTTGGTTAAGCCTTTGGCTCCAGTCATGATCTCAGGGTCCTGGGATAGAACCCCGCATTGGGCTCCCTGCTCAGTGAGGAGACTGCCTTTCCCCCTCTGCCTCTGTTCCACGCACGCCCCCCACCCCCCTGGTTCAGGTTCTCTCTCTCTCGTTCTATCTCAAATAAATTTTCTTAAAAATCTTTAAAGAGTGCCTGGGTGGCTTAGTTGGTTGGGCAACTGCGTTCGGCTCGGGTCTTGATCCCGGATCAAGTCCCGCATAGGTCTCCCAGCTCCGTGGGGAGTCGGCTTCTCCCTCTGACCTTCTCCCCTCTCATGCTCTCTCTCACTGTCAGTCTCTCAAATAAATAGATAAAATCTTTTAAAAAATAAATTAAAAAAAATCTTTTAAAAAAAAAGGACCCTCGTTAGTTATGTTATATTTGTTTATTCCAAAGAGATATTTTAAAGAATGCCGATTTCTGAAAGTTCTCCAGTTGTGTTTCTGGAGGTTAGCCTCATTCCTCAGATGTCTTAGGTGTCTCCAGTGGTTTGGTTTTTTTGTTTTTGTTTTTTTGAGAAGTGAACACTACAGAATCAGGCCCATCCCTGAGGCAGGTGTCATTGCCCAAGAAAAGATGTTTGGGAGTTCTCTAAATCCATAAAGAGGGAACATTTAATTTTTAAATTTTTCACTTTTTTTTAAAGATTCATTCATTTTAGAGAGAGAGATTGAGCGCAGCCGGGGGAGGGGCAACGGGAGAGGGAGAGTCTGCTGTGCACAGAGTCTAATGCGGGGCTTGATCCCACACCCTGAGATCATGACCTGGGCTGTAACCGAGTTGGACACTCAACGGAGTCACCCAGGCACCCCTAAATAAGTTTCTTATCATTTGGGAAGATTAGAATTTCCCCCCTTTCCTCCTTTTATAAATAAAGTTTGATTGCTTATTGTAGTTCCCTTAAATGGGTATTTAGATTTCAATCCGTAATATCCTGTGACTATAAAGACCTACTTAGCACTTTCTAAGACTCTGTCTAAGGGCAACTGGGTGACTCATTCGGTTGAGTGGCCCACCCTTGATTGTGGCTCAGGTCATAATCCTGGGGTTGTGCTCAGCATGGAGTCTGCTTGTCCCTCTCCTTCTTTCCCCACTCTGCTCGTGTGCACCTGCTCACTCACTCTCTCTGTCTCAAATAAATAAATAAAATCTTTAAAAAAAAAAAAAACCTACTTGGATTACATTTGCTGGCTAAAAAAAGCTCACGTGTATATCACAGAAATTCTAGTAAGGTGGAGCGTAGTTCAAGAAAAAAAGGAAGAAGAAACTTCAGGAAAAAATAATGAACTATTTGACCCAGTAGTGAACATTAGCCACATGTTCTTAATATAAGAAATGTTGATTGGCGTTCAGCTTTTACCACTTACCTATGTGCGAAACACGAAGGACTTTGTTATTACAGAGTGGAAGAAACTTATTAGTTTTCACAAAGTAAAAGACATGTAACAAAGGCCGTATTTGCGAGTGGAGAGAGAGCTGGAAGGAAGGGTAAGATGAGACTACTCTTACCTTAGGAAGGAAACAGCTGAGAGACACTGTCTATAGCTGGAGAACAAGAAATAAAGTCTATGCAAGTCTGTTAGTAAAAATGTGAAGGTAACTGGTAGAGAGGTTGGCGCGGGAAAGCACAGCTGTTGGCCTCTGGGTGTAGGGGAGATTGGCATAGAAGGTGTTTGTCCTTCATTATAAGCTTTTCCGTCTTATTTGATTTTTCAATTTATGTGCACGTATTAACTTTGACATGTTTTTAAATGTTTTAAAGAAACTTCTGTTACATGTAAGCAGTGGCAAAGAAGTATGAGGACAGACTATTTCCAGTTTTAACTGAGTTCATTTTGAATTAATGAATTTAACAAGCTGAACCTATTTGGGAACAGTGATTCCCACCTTGGAATGAAGATAATATTTTTCAGAAGATTTGGGAAAGGAAGAGTCCATTTTTATTTTACCGCCTTTCTTATTATTACACGTAGATGTTGAGAAATGAAATAAATTAGAAACGTATAATGATGGAAACAGACTTTTTTTGTTTCTCAGAATAAAACTAACTTTTTTCCCCAATTCTTCCTGTTTCTTCTGTTTCCCCTTTGTCTTCCAGAAGCCCTTCAGAGGCCAGTAGCATCTGACTTTGAGCCCCAAGGTCTCAGCGAAGCAGCTCGTTGGAACTCCAAGGAAAACCTTCTTGCTGGCCCCAGTGAAAATGACCCAAACCTTTTCGTTGCACTGTATGATTTTGTGGCCAGTGGGGACAACACCCTAAGTATAACTAAAGGTAAAAGGGCTGTGGACCACTGCTGGTGCTTGCAAGAGACAGAAATCAGAGGAAACTGTGGCTTGACTAGCTACCCCTTTGCCTAGTGAAAGAGTAGCTTTAAAGATCAGAATGCAGAGACATCAAAAAAAAAGAAACGAAACACCTAGCATCTTTATAAGAGAGCCGCTTTTCCTTACGGAGAAGAGTTCCTGTACAGTAGTCTTAGAAAAACAGAGCATCGTAGTGAAAAGAATGCCTGGACCAAGCACTGAAAATGCCTTCTTTTTTCTTTCTTTTTTAAGAAAAAGTGTTTTTTTCCCTAAGAAATTTCATTGTTAGGAACAGAACACTTGACTAAACCTAATAGATTTATGAAAACTGAGGCTCTGTGTTTATATTCAGTGCCAACAGGAAGCTTCATCTATAAAGTGTACTCTTCTGTACACTTATAAATGCATTTGTTTATGTGGATTTGTTAAAGGGAAGTAGGTATTTAGGGATTTGGAGATTTTTAGTAATCCTGTACGAACAAATGGGAATGAACGAAGCCAGCTTTTATAAAGCTGATGTCTGATTTGATTCTCTTCTTCTAAGGTGAGAAGCTCCGGGTTTTAGGCTACAATCACAATGGGGAGTGGTGTGAAGCCCAAACCAAAAATGGCCAAGGGTGGGTCCCAAGCAACTACATCACACCAGTCAACAGTCTGGAGAAACATTCCTGGTACCACGGGCCCGTGTCCCGCAACGCAGCTGAGTACCTGCTGAGCAGCGGGATCAACGGCAGCTTCTTGGTCCGGGAGAGCGAGAGCAGTCCTGGCCAGAGGTCCATCTCGCTGAGATACGAAGGGAGGGTGTACCACTACAGAATCAACACTGCTTCCGATGGCAAGGTAGGGGGCCCTAGCCCGGGGAGCTGCTGGGCTGGGGGTGTTAACCTTTGGCCGGGAGGACCCAGGGCTCCTGACACTGCGGTTGAGAAGCTATCACAAATCTCAAACAGGAAGATGCTTGAAGGAAGCATCTTCAGGTAGACGCCACCGGCATCACTCCGTTAGCCTAGGAAAGACACTCTGTTGAGGACCAGTCACGTGATGTTACAAGTCCAGGGGCCTGGCGTGGCTCTCTGCCTGTCCTGCTGGAGTTTTGTTGCTAGCTGATTTGTAAGATGGGAATTCCTACTAGGTTTGGGACATACTTCTTAAATTAGGATTCTTCCTTTTTAAAAAAATCACTTACTGTGATCGTAATTCATCTTCAATGCAATAATAATAAAATTGCAATAATAAATGGATTTTTTAGGGGCGCCTGGGTGGCTCAGTGGGTTAATAAATGGATATTTTTTAAGTAAAAGACCCACCTTAATAGCACTTCCCAAAATAAGCATGGTACATGTGTTCTTCCATAAATCTGCGTGTGCCTACATGCAATTACGTACATACATACACACAGTTTTTAAACACGAATGAGATCCCATTGTACCAGTAGATTTCCAAACCCAAACTTTAGTTTTGTAGATGCGTTGAATGTACAGTTTTATTTTCTAAATTTTTAAATTTTTTATTTTTAAAGATCTTATTTATTTATTTGACAGAGGGAGTGGGAGAGGGAGAAGCAGGCTTCCCGCTGAGCAGGGAGCCCGATGCGAGGCTCGATCCCAGGACCCCGGGATCATGACCTGAGCTGAAGGCAGACACTTAATGACTGAGCCACCCAGGCGCCCCGAATATACAGTTTTATTATGATCTTTATATGAACAATGCTCAAGAGTCCATGAAGGAAAAGGAGGGTTTAACATTTTTCAGGTTCCTCCTGGTGACCGGCATATTTTTCAGGCATCCTCTCATTTAAACCTCACTTCAGTCCTCAGGGCGGAGGTTACCGTGATCTGCATTTTTGCATTAAGGAGTTGGGGACTTAAATGGGAGGCGGTTTTTTGCCCAGAATCACCTAATGTGCGACTGATGGAGCTAGGCTTGGACCCGCTGTCCTCCTTGCCATACCGTGCCATCATCCAGGGTGGAGATGAGTGGATTATTGGGCAAGCTTTAGATGGTGGATGTATTTTTTTAATTAATATGTAATGTATGCACATGGTTAAAAAAACAAAAACAAAAACGAAATAGATTACAGTGAGAATCTGTCTCCTAATTCCACTCCCCTTCCCAGAGGCAACCCCTGTGACCAGTTTCTTTCAGAGTACCCCAGTGTATGTATATGCTTTTATATATATATGTATACATACACACACACACACACACACACATATATATTTTTTAAGATTTTATTTATTTACTCGTCAGAGCAAGAGAATGTACAAGCAGGAAGGGCTGCAGGCAGAGGAAGAAGCTGGCTCCCCACCGAGCAAGGAATCCGATGCGGGGCTCCATCCCACAACCCTGGGATCACAGTCTGAACTTAAGGCAGATGCTTAACCGACTGAGCCACCCGGTCATCCCTGTACTTACATTTTTTAAAAAAACACAAATGATGCAGACTTCACACTGTTTGGATCTTACTTTTCCCACCCAGTAACATTCGCTGAAGATCGCTTTACAGGAGCACGTGTAGAGCTGCCTCATTCTTATTAATGACTGCTCGTGTGGATGGACTATCATTTATTGAAGCAGTGCCCTGAGGGCCGACTTGTAGGTTCTTTCCAATCTTTTGCTGTTACAAATAACGCTGCTCTGAGGTGGCTTTCAAACCATTAAAAAAAATAATCTTTGCACACTGTATAAAAGCATTTACATCAGCACCTAGTACTCACACTAGTAACTAAAGGTTCTGGAAGCCTTCCTCACCCTCACTGTATGTAATGCACTCTGACATTTTGTATTCCCTTCTGTCTCGTTTTTTAAAAAAGTTCTGGTCAGAATCCACTAAGTTTACTTCTCTAGACACACGTACATGTACATATTTCAGAGACATATGTACGTGTGTACAACTTTCCATCATGTTGAATGTACGTGTGTCATGTTTTGAGGGGTCTCTGTGCCATTTGCTAAATTTATCTTTTCCTGCGTATTTGAAATATACCAAATTGGCATATGGCGGGTCATGACCTGCACTTGGAACGTGTTGTATACCCTTTGTGTACAGTGTAAATATGTGCAAGATAAGGTGCTAGAACTGATGGAAGGTTTTGTGCGTTTAAAATTTGTGTAGATGTCGTCAGATTACCTTCTGTAGAAATTGTGCAGATGTGTTTACTCACCCTGTTGCTGGTGAGAAATGGAGCTTCCAGGAGAAACAGGAGTGCATCTTCCCTCCACCTCAACAGTGCTGTCAGGCTTGTGGAAAACATCTGTCACTGATTGGTGAAGATGGTCTCATTATGTTTAATGTACATGCATCGTGTTTTGAGGGATCCCCGTGCCATTTACTAAATTATATTTTTGTGAAGATCTAAATACACCAAATTTACTTATACACTGAGATCTGTTGATGTACTCTCTGTTCTCTTCCAATATTAGACTTTTACTTGTTACAGTTTATATGTTTTAATGTGTGATAGGGCTAGTCCCCTCCTTGTAGTCCTCTTAATATTTTTATGGCTATCCTCAAACATTCATTTGTACCACACAAATGCACATATATCTCTCTTTTTAATGTTCTTCTCTTGTTTTTCTGCATGTCTCAAAGTCTTCTGGCCAAAGTCCTTATTGCTGATATCTAGTGCCTTCCATGATGGCAGAGGTCTTTGTACCCAGCATGGCCACTTGCTGATGTGTGACTAGAGATCAGCCTTACCAGCTTGCCTTTCAGGTCCTCGTTCTTCTCCCAGATATGGAGCTAGGTCATTCCATTCTGCAGGACATATTCCAGGGTGGGGGGCCCTTTGAAACCTTGCCTTCAGCCCACAAGGGTTCCTCTCTCGTGAATTAGAACACCAGAGCACACCGCCCGTGAGGGAGGTGATTTCCTGGAGCTGACAGCTTGCTTCCCATCTGTGCTGTTTATCCAAGGCAAACCGTGCCGCACCGCGGTAATCAGTTGAGGTTTGTACTGAACAGGGTAATGGTTTCTTTTCCCTGGAGTTGTTTAACCAGCATCCTAGGAACAGATTCAGGCAGGCATGATCTAGTTTGACAACTCATTAGCCCGGGGTCGGTCCGGAATAGCACTCAGAGGGAGAGAGCAAGGCCTGCATGTAGGATGCATGATTCACAGAATTCGAGAACAGCTGGTATGTGCCAGGGGAGCACAGGGACCTCATTTGATCGGGCAGTATCCACCACTGGGCAACTCATCCCAGTGTCCTAGGCCTGCTGCCTCCTTCTCTCCCACCCACCCTGGCAGACTCTCCCTTCAGCTGTCCGAGCACCTGGAGACGTTTCAGCCCGAGGGGTTATCAGTTCCGGCCATCTGCAGAGGCGCCTCTCTATGAGGGCTGCACTCGAGGGGCTGTGTTGGGTGGGATCGTATTCCTGGAATGAGCAGAGCAGTGTCCGAGGTATTGGGGGAGGTACTACAGCAACGCATGAGACAGTGTGGCTCGGCGCTGAGAAAAGCTTGCATAGCAGAGCCTTGATGCAATCCTTTTTGGATTTCTAAGGGGAAAACTCAAGGTTGGTAGGAGGGACAGGCTGGGGTTGCAAAGCTTAATGCTTATTTTTCAAATAGCTAATCTTTAGAAAACAACTGAATTTAGAAGATTCTTCTCTAAGGCCCCCGAAAGATTTCTTTTTGCCTCCACCCTCCCGGCCCTGATGTACTTCTGTTGTTGTGTCCCTGAGCTTCTGCGGCCATTGCGGCCACTCAGTCGGCCCAGGGCTTGGGGAGCTTCAAGCTAGACTGTCACAGGGGCCATACCAAACTGAGCCGTCGCTGCTCCAAGGAGTCTCCACCGTCTGGAAAACCTCCCCATCCCCTGGGATGTGATTGTCATTCTCCGTGCTCTCCGAGTTCACCGTCTTCTGCCGGCGCAGTGGAATTAAAGGCTGATTTTCCTCCACCACCCGCTGCCTGAATCATTTTTAGTTCTTCTGGTTATTTGTGTCTACACTTTATTTACTTTTGTGGGAGGCCACTGTCAAGTTCCACAGTTCCTTATACCCCGTGATAAAGCCTTTGCTTTTCTTCAAAGAGGTTCCCGGGTGACATTCATTTTCACAGTCTGCTGAAGTGACAGGGTCGGGTTGACAGGAGTGGAATTTGGGCTTCAGCTTTAGCAGAGGTGGCAGGATAGGCCAACTGTATAACCTCTTGAATTTTTAAGATTTACCCACCCTGACAGTGGTTTGGCAGGTGCAGGCATCCCAGTGAAAAGTCTGCTGAAACATGGCTGACCTTCCCTTGTCGAGGAGACTTTGAGCATTATTAAGTACTGCTTAATTTCTAATTATTAATTATTAAGTCCTGCCCTCCTGCCCTGCTCATACACTCTCAGGGTAATAATGTTGCTTCCTGGCCCAGCAGCCTGTAACCAGTAGTACGTCCAGGGTGGGACTCTGGGATCGGAGGCAGCTAAAGGGGGCACCGTCCGAGCACTGATAAGCCGGTACGTCTGGCTGCACGGAAGAAAGCTCTTTCTGGTGAGTTTCTTTGACAAGTCCTATCTTGGGGTTCCTGCATGATCGGGAGGAGGCCCAGTCCTGGCTGAGCACCCAGAGTGTTTATATAACCAGGTGCATAGCATAATGACATGCCATTCATTATGCTAATTTCACTTTCTTCTCGGAACATGCCAGGAATTCCTGATGTAGATTCCCCAGTTCACTAGCAAAATGCTCAAAACTCAGAACTAATCAGAAGGAAGCCAGCAGACCTGACTGTTAGAAGGTGGTCGTGCGGTGCATTGAGAAGGGAGAGTAGTTTTAATATTTAACAGTTAGTGTTGGGATGTAAATTTTATGTTGAAAGATGAACTAAGTCACGGGGTCTATAAATTTAATTATTGAGAAGGATAAAGTAGGTCCGCTCAGTGAAACCTCCCACAACTCTGAAATCTCTTAACAGGAGAGCCGGTGAGGGAGTCAGACGAGACCAAGAACAAATTCTGCATAAACTAGGGCTAGGCGGAGCCGTCAGCATTCTGTGTGAGGGAAGGAACTTGGTCCTCGGGTTGGGGAGCACTCCTTTCCCGCTGACGGGGAGAAGTAGGTAATGAGCCTTGCGATGCCCACCTACAGGAGTGCCCTGTACATCAGTGTGTGGACATCAGGCAAAGCGCAGGCTTAGTGGCACTGACTTCTCCCCGCCTACCCCAGCACCTCTGTGCGCTCTTCTGGGCCATAAGTGAAACTGATCAGCTGTCCTAGAGCAGGTCTCTTAGACTAAGGTGCGCCGAGGTGTGAGTGGGGCCTGTGTGAATGGGGCCTCCGAGTGGGCCCTCCCCTCACTCCGGAAGGTCTGCCACTGAGGGGCACCATCTTGCAGAGGGACAAGTCCCCAGAGCTACGGGATCCTTCTGGACAATTCTTGGGTTGCTCAGAATTTTATTTTAGTAGGATTGCAACCAGAAGATTGTAAATTACAGGGGTGCCTGGGTGGCTCAGTTGGTTAAGCATCTGCCTTCAGCTCAAGTCATGATCTCAGGGTCCTGCTTTTCCCTCTCCCTCTGCCGCTCCCCCTGCTTGTGTGCATGCATGTGCTTTCTCAAATAAATAATCTTAAAAAGAAAAAAAAAAGATTGTAAATTACAAAACTCTAAGTCAGAGTTTGCTATTCCCTTGCCTGAGTTTTAAAACTCTGTTTATGTTATTCCCCAAGCAAAAAATTAAAAAAGAAAGAAAGAATTCTGTTTACTTTCTTGAGGATTATAAATGGGATCGACTCATGTATTTGTTAATATTTTCTTCTTTTAAAATATTTTAATTATCTATTATTACAAACATACAGGAATTGATGGAGCCTTCCATAACCAACCCTGCCATGTGTTTCAGGCTTTTTCTTCCTTTTTCTGTTTTTCAGTAATGGAGATACTACAGCTACAGCTCTAATACAACTGATCCTGTTCCTTTTTCTCCCTCCTGCCCCACACAGCACTGCTGTTCCAAACCCGGTTCCTCCTCTATCTCGGTAGTCAGGGAGGGCAAGTTGTGATTTTTAACTTTTCTTAATTTTTTTTTAAGGATTTTTTATATTTATTTGACAGAGAGAAACACAGCGAGAGAGGAAACACAAGAACACAAGCAGAGGGAGTGAGAGAGGGAGAAGCAGGCTTCCCACCCAGCAGGGAGCCCAGTCGGGACTTGGTCCCGGGATGCTGGGATCATGACCTGAGCCAAAGGCAGACACTTAATGACTGAGCCACCCAGGCGCCCAAGTTGTCATTTTTTTTTAAGATTTTATTTATTTATTTGACAGATCACAAGTAGGTAGAGGGGCAGGCAGGGTCGGGGGGCGGGGAGCAGGCTCCCTGCTGAGCAGAGAGCCCGATGCGGGGCTCCGTCCTAGGACCCTGAGATAATGACCTGAGCCAAAGGCAGAGGCATAACCCACTGAGCCCCTGGAGTCGTCATTTTTTTTTAAATTTTTTTATTAACATATAATGTATTATTAGTGGAGTTGTCATTTTTAATGTCGCCCCCCCCACCTTCCACAGTCACTGGCTGCCCTTCATGAGCTAGTAGGTTCGGTTACTTGCTGTCCGCCTGGAGCCTGATGTCCTGTTTGGATTTTAACGTGGAATTGTTTTTTGCAAAGGAAGCATTCCCTCACCACCTCACTGAAACAAACCAAAAAAGAAAAAAATAGCTGTCCCCATCCACGCTTGCTTTCTGTCAGCCTGTCCACCTGCTCCTGTCCCTTCCTCCTTTCCTGGTGCATCCAACGAGAATGACAGGTGGATGAGCTCCGTGCATAGGGTCACGCCCACTGGAGATCTTAGAGGGAGGCTCGCCTGCGCTGGTGTCTCTGAAAGCCCCTTTCCTGACTCCCCCACAGTAGAGGAGGCTGTGCGGCCCTAGTGTGGCCCTGCAGCCCCCCGCCCCCCACACTCATCCCTGCAGCGTGCTGACAGACGGGCATCCCACAGGGGCATCCAGCTGGGGTCGACAAGTCTGGGCCGCTAATGCTTTTTAGCTCAAATTGAGGATGTGAGAATGAGAAGAAGATTTGTGTTTTGTTTAGCGATTTCCATCTCTGATGACTATGTAGTTCTGGATAATTATATAATTATAAATAATAATTAGAGGTTTTAGGTAATAAGCATAATTATTTTTAAAAAATTACTTTGTTTTTTAATCAGCAAATAGGTACTAAGTTCTGTTCTTTGTTAATTTAATCACCGACTGTTTATTGAGTACCTATTACATGCTCTGTATTTCTTATTCTCCCCATTGGGGACACAGGATTAAAACAACTTAGGGCTCTGCTCTCATGAAGCTGACATTCTAGGAGGTGTTTACAGTAAGTAATCAACCAAAATAAGCAGGATAAGTACGATGCAGAGAAGTAAGAGAGGCGATATGATGACTAGTGCTGGGTGATGACCAGGTCAGGTGACTGCAGTGACAGTGACATTTATGCGGGGCTCAGGGTGGTAAGAGAGAACCAGGCATGTGGTGATTAGGTGGCTGGAGGATTTCAGGCAGAGGGAGCAGCAGATGCAAAGGCCCTGAGGCATTTTGTTACACCTTCTGCTTTAGCAAGTAAATTACAGCATGTGTAGAGAAACACAACATGGGTGGTTTTGTGCGCACTGCGTCCTGCGTGGAGAGCCATCTATCTGAGGGATTGCTGTGCACTGACAGGCTCACCAGAGCTGGTTTACCAGAGTTGTTTGGGTTTGTGTGCGCTCTGTGGGCTGAAAGCTGTCCCTGTTTCCCTCAGCTCTACGTCTCCTCAGAGAGCCGCTTCAACGCTTTGGCTGAGTTGGTTCATCATCACTCGACTGTGGCCGACGGGCTCATCACCACTCTCCATTACCCGGCCCCCAAGCGCAACAAGCCCACCATCTACGGCGTGTCCCCCAACTACGACAAGTGGGAGATGGAGCGCACGGACATCACCATGAAGCACAAGCTGGGCGGAGGCCAGTACGGGGAGGTGTACGAAGGCGTGTGGAAGAAATACAGCCTGACGGTGGCCGTGAAGACCTTGAAGGTAGGCCTGGGCCTGCTGCGGCTAGATCCAGCCCGCTGTTGCCTGCGTGCGGCACTCTGGGTGGCCTGCCCCTACGCTCAGGCCTGAGGGGGGTAACCGGTGCCCAGGAAGTGCCTCTGTGGGCCTTTCTTCAGACGGGTTCAGCCCCTCTCCCTGACTCCGTCCGTGTGCCTCCACATACAGTGAGAGCCGAGAAGGGCTGTGGTTTTTGGTGTAAAAAGATGAGTCATCTGGAGAAGTGTTTTCATTATATGGCGAGATTCTTTTAAAGCCGTGGGTTTCCGTTCTCTCTGTGTGGCATTTGGATCACTTCCTATTGAGAGTTAAGAGGAGGAAAAAGAAACTAAGTTTTGAAAGAAGGGGATTTAACCACAACACATTTGACTGTTCTGTGGATTTTTGTCGGCACATTTAAAAGGCAGGAGCATTGGGTGTTCCTAGCGGGTTCCAGTTCTGTGTGGTGTGAGTGCGGGCCTCTGGAAATGGAGGCGTGGAAAGGCCTGAAGGAAGCGTCAGGGCTCCCTACTGACTCAGGTACCGGCGGGTCATTAATGTTAACTAGGACTTTTCGCCCTCTCCACTCAGGCGTGGGGTTTGTAGTTTTCTGGCGGATTTGAAGTCCTTTGAAATCCTGAGGAGGCCAAGCACAGGTTTTGCTTGCTGCTGTCTTTGCCTTCCACATGTGAGCTGAGCTTTCACCCGTGGCCAGAGCGTCCCCTAGTGTTGACCTATGCTATTTTCACTTGCTCTAAAGGAACGATTACACGGACACGTGCACAGGGATTGAGAGAGGAGGCAGGTCCTGTAGCCACTGGACAAGAAAAAGAATGGAAACATCCATGACTGGGAGGAAGGGATCCAAGTGTGTGCACACACTTCTATGGAGTCTGTGGGGCGCACACTTGGAGACCCCTGGAGCCAGATCACTTGCCTTTTAGGGCTTCTGTTACTTCTCTGCTACTCAGAGGCACAGTAAAGTGGAAATTACGGGTTCTGGCTGATGTACAGTGACTCTTCAGAGAAAGGATTGTCCTCTTTAGTTCTAGAAACCAAGGGTGGCTTGCTTCCTGGCACTCTTATTGATTGTCCCCTTAGATCAGTCCTTTGGGCAGGACTGACACTTGTAGGTTGCGGAGTGGGGGTAACGTGGTTTGGGATCACCTTGAGGACTCCTGGATACTTTCCAGACGTGATTTTTTTAAAAACACAATAAGCATTTATTGAGTTCCTTTCTTCTGTTTGCCTGACCTTGGGCTTAACTCTGAGATTGTGAAAATAGACTTCTTTCTTTCAGGCTAGTCGAGGTAGTGGAGCAGTGTAGCTAGGAGGAGAAATAGGCACTATGACAGTAGCCACGGTGTGGTGTGATAGGTGCCAGATTAGAGGCAGGAGCGGGGTGCTCTCACACCACCTGGGAATAAGGTTGGCGGGGGGAGTTACCGGTGAGCTCTACTTGGCAGAGAGAGAGCACGAAGGAGACCACAAGTTGGTGCCATAGGGGAGGAACGGGAGTTGGCCCGGGGAGCAGAGGCCTGGACAGAGGTGGAGGGTGAAGAGCCTCCGCTGTCGCAGAGGGTTTGAACCAGCTGAGGAGCTGGATTTTATCCGGGAGACAATGGGGTGCGTTGGGGGGTTTGATGCACAGATGATTGGATTTGCACTTCACAAAGATGGCTACGTTGGCGAGCCCTAGAAAAAACGAAACAGCCGTTGCCCCACCTCCGCCAGACCAGGTGAGGCTGGGGAGAAAGGCATGTGCTCATGCTCCAGCGTCTCAGTTTGGCACTGGATTGAAGAGCAGCCCCGGCTCTGGGTCTTGACCAGCTTGAGAAACTGTTACAGGCCCAGGCAGTACCTACACATTTGCCAGTATTTGCAAAAATGAAACAAGAAAGAACAGAAGCACAAAATACACTAGGTTTCCATCCAGGAAAGGTGTGTGTGAAAGCTTCAGAAAGAGTGAGAGTTTGCACAGCTTGAAATGTGGGGGAACACAGCCCCGCAGCGGATACTGTGGTATTGTTTCCTGAGCAACTGAAGATGGCCATTCCAGAGGAGGGACCCCTCCTGGAGGTCACTGGCAGTGGTGGCTTTCTTATACCAGTGAATCCGAATTATTTGGAAGTTGTCTGCATGTTAGAATATATTTCTCTAATGTTGTATTATTAAACTTTTATTATACTTTTAATGGTTTTCCCCAAGAGCTTTATTAACTTTATGGTCCCACAGTTGGGGGGAAAAAATTACAGAATCTAATGGCATGGATTTCTGGGAGTCGTCACCTCTGCTGATAGCTAATTAGGGAGAAGGAAATGCATCATATTCTAGAGATGTATGTCAGCCCAACATACGGTACGAAGCAAATGCTAAATAAATTACCCCTTTTTTCGCCTCCCCTGCACAAAGCACATCTCTACGGTAGGTTTCCCACTTGTCAGATAAGATTAGTGTCACTATTTTGGGCATTTGTCTCCACTGGAGACGTTGAGAACTTTGGGTTCTAAATGACAGTAATGGCTCATCTTTATTGAGCTCTTGCTACCTGCCGGAAGGGTGGGAGACTCCATCTGTAGCCTCTAATTTAATCCTTTCAACCACCGTAAGGGAAGGGTCCTCCTGTGGTCACTGCTTGGGCTTGAGGAAACTGCACTGGAGGGAGGCAGGGGAACTGGCCCAGGCATCCTGCCTCAAAGCCCAGCTCCTTTCCTCTTTCCTTAATTGTCACTCTGCTGCTTATTCCTCACACACCATGAAAAATACACAAACCACAGTTACGAGTCCCCTTCCCTGCCCACACTCACTAGCCCTCAGGCTGCAGCAGGACCCAGCTGGGCACCTGAGTCTCCGTTGTCTCCTTCCCCCTCTGCCACCTGTTTTGTGTTGCTGACCCCTCTTGAGGAGGCCCAGGAGTCAGCAAAGCCCTGCTTTAACCCGGGCTCCATAGGGATCCACCAGGCCGCACTGGGTCCTGTACCCTCAGGGCCTGAGACCAGAAGAGACAGGAAACAGGAGTGCCCGAGGCTGCCCTCTATGGGTGGGAAACTGGAATTAAACCAAAAGCCTCCTGAAGGGAACTGCTGGTTTGAGTCCTGACCTAATTCAGCAGGTCCTAGGCTTACCTTTACCTGTGTATTATCAGTATCACAGGCGGGACGTGACTAAGAGAACCAGCTGTCCAGTAAAGAAAGCCCCACATTTCAGATGAGCTGTATTCCGAAAGTTTGTTTGTAAGCCCTTTTTTTCCCCAATGAAATGGTTCTGGAAGTCATAGAATTTAGGGAAGACTACTGTTGATCTAGTGGCGTTAGGATCGACTCTTAAGCTACTGACAGATTTATCATTAAAGTAGTGGGAAGTGACATTGTTGAAAAATGTTAAGACTTAAAATTGTACTTGGTTCTTTACCTATTTTTCAAATAGGTAATACATGCACGTAGTGTCTTCTACCTTGATTTGTGTGACTTTCCAGAAAAATCTGTGGGGGGTATCTTTCTGAGCCGTGTGGCAGCGTGCTGTCGATACGGCCCCGTGCCTTCTGGTGCCCGCGTATACGTGCAGTCGTTCCTCGTCAGTACACGTAAGGCGGTCTTGTTCGTGCGCGGATGTGTCTAACATCAACCAGCCTTCCACGCGCATTTGTGTTCTTCCCCGCCCTTCGCTATTACAGACCGTGCCACGGGGATTCTTCTTGTTGGATATGTGGGGACTGTCCTAGTGGTCAGCTCCCCAGGATACGCTAGATCGAGGAGCAGGTACCAGTTTGCACTCCACCGGCAGTGCTGACACAGCACCCCGGTGACCCTGTCCTTGCCTACCCGGTCTGTTTGGGTTTGGCTTTTGTTTGCTGCATTTCCCCCAGGAAACTGGTCCTGTTAGAGAGCTCCAGAAACAAGCAGAGAAGGGAGGGCTCCGTGGCAGCACTGGACAGTCCCATGCTCTGGCTCTCTGGCTCCCCGAGGGGGCTGTGCGCAGGGAGAGAGGCGGCACACGTCAGAGCACAGTGTCACCGCGTCGCTCTTGTTCCGGCTGTGAGCTAGGCACACCTGTGTGTGCGAGGACCAGGGCTCGGGGGTTCTGTGGGAGGTGGTTTCTCATGCACCTGGCTGGTGAACCCCCTTCCTCGGCCTGGCTCAGGAGCTCCGACCCATCTCTGCAGCCCCATCTCTGCCGGCTGTGGGATGGCCCTTCACTGTGGTGGTGACCTTGCTCACCTCACATTTGGTTGAGAACCAGGGGCAGGTGTGGAAACTGAGCTCTCTGTGGACCCTGCTCCAGGACTGTGGTCCCTGCTGGGACTCGGGGAGCCACGAAGGGCACTCGGATATGTAGCACCAGTGACACGAACGCTATTCTTGGTTAATGCTGTGAAATGCCTATGCTGGCGGGGAGGCCAGCAAGCAGAATGGCTGAAGCTGGATGGAAAACACCCGTGACATCTTGGGTCCAGAGAATGTGTGTCTGAGACACAAAACCAAAAAGCAGTGTTAACTAAAGACCCAGCCTGTCTCTCATATAAGCACTGTATTTAGCCTGATCGCAGGGACAGAGATGACCGTCTTCATTACAGTAGTGGGTCCCGCCTGAGGAGTCCTGCCCACGAGGCGGGTGCAGCTCTTCTCCCCGTTTGTGGACTAGAAGGGGATGCTCCGAGAAACCTCCCTTACCTGGCTTGTGAGTGACTAAGCATGGCCACACGGTGGCAGGGCTTGGTCTATGTAATTCAGAAGCCACCCTCTTAACCACCCCCTGTACCGGCCAGGCCCTTGTGTGCATCTGGGCCAGGCCGGTCAGTCCCCGTGAGCAGAGCTCAGCTGGCCCATCGTCCTCCCAATAGACAAGGCCGGAACTCAGTCTTCACTCGGTGTTGCTTTCCCCTCATTGATCAGAGTTCATTTTATTTTACTCCATAAATGGAAGATCTTCCCAAAGAAAAGATGGAAGGTTTTTTAATTAAAGTCAAGGAATAGAACAGGATAGCATTGGGGGGGTGTTGTTTCCAGTTTAATACAGCTACAAAAGTCTGAGGCTGCTAGTAGTGTCTGTTATAAATTGAACCAGGCCTGATTCCAGCAGGGGGAGACACGTTCACACCGATTGTCCTGTAAGAAAAAAACAGGGAATTATTTATACCACACGTGTACGTGCGTGTGTATGAATGAGGGGAGAGCGAGACAGACAAAAAGAGGACGGGGTGCCTTTGAAAGCCCTATTGTTCCTTCTGCATGTCCACGCCTCTCAAGATCCAGACCAGACGTGGTTCTTTCAGAAAAGAGTCCGTAGCTGTGAGGGCACGTATGAAATGATTTCACTGTGGGTGGTTTATTATGTGGCACTTTAACAGGAAAACTCCACTTGCCTAGAAAGCTTTATATGACAGCTGCGTTTTGAACGTGTTGCTGGCCAGGCAAGGTTCTTAAAGCCCCTGGTCCTTACGTGAGCAGCATCGGCTCTCCGACTCTGGCAGGCGTGTGCTCTCCAGCCTTGGCATTGGCGTGTCACCCGGCGGATCAGAGCCTTCCACGCGCAAACGGCATGGCCTGCAGAGCATGTTAAGGAGCAGAGAGGACTCGGAAGACTTGAACAGCCAATGGGGCGGTGGCAGGGACGAGTTCTTGTCCCCCATAGAGCTTGACGCGGAGACTACAGCAGTGGTTTATTGACATTAGAGTAGCTGACTGTTGTCAAGGAGCGGTAAATTGTTTCTGAGTCTCACCCTCCCGGAACCCTAAGCTGAGGGGTAATGGGCTGACCTGTGTCCTCAGTGGTCGTGCCTGGGCTTTAACAATGACTGACCGCAGCGGGCGCGCGCTAGGCAGAGGATGGCCTGTGCTCTGGAAGTCTTCGCACGTGCGGGGGCAGGAATGGCGCAGCCACGGTGATGCTGCGGTGAGGGCGTGAGCTCATTGTCTCCCAAGGCACAGGTACAATGTATAAGGTGCCACATTGAAAATACGGTTCATAAAGGGGCACCTGGGTGGCTCAGTTGGTTAAGTGTCCGGCTCTTGGTTCCAGCTCGGGTCATGTTCCCAGGGTCACGGAATCGAGCCCCACATGCGCTCTGCACTCAGCAGAGAGTCTTCTAAGGTTTCTCTTTCCATCTGCCCCTCCCTATATGCGCACACATGTGTTCTCGCTCACGCACTCTCAAATTAATCTCTTAAAAAAAGGGGGGTTCCTCTCGGGCGAGTCTAGTTTTCCAGATCACTTCCCATCCACCATGCAGCCTTCCTCTCCAGACAGAGGTAGACTCCGTGTTGAAACTTGGAGGGAGGCGCCCTGCTTCTCCTGCTAGACTTTGTAGCCGGCCTCCCGCGGCAGACGCACCCGGTCATTCGCCCCCACCTGCTTGTCGCTGTGGTGGTCAGAGGGCATCGGTTCTTTAAGTCAGAAGAGGTTCACTTGACGCAGGCCACGGAAGGCTCCTGCGTGGTAGGGCCAACGCTGTGTGCGCGGCAGGGCGTGTGCGGGGCAGGGCGCACAGCCCTCCAGAGTTGAGCCCGACCCAGAGCACCTGAGGAAGTGTGGAAAGAGCCTCTGGTTTGCTCTGGGCATTTGCGGATACCTCTGTCTCCGCATGGCGTTTTGATTCGGTGAACTTGCTAAAACCTGACCTCATGAAGCCATCATCAGGGGCTGCTGCGGAGGATGAGTTCAGAACCTGAGGAAATCTGCCTTGTGGGTGGCGGCGACGGCTTCGTCAAGGCCCCCGGGCCGCCACGCGCTCAGAGTCCTCTGCCGTGCAGCATCCTCTGTCACGCTTTGACGTGCGGGTCTTCTTTGGTAGGACGGTATCTTTTTGTGTCATCGGGGGTTTTTTTGTTAATTGAAGTGTTTTAGGACTGCTTGGAAACCAGTTACTCGTTAGGGAAGTAGAACCAGCCTCTACATCGCAGCCCCTAGAAGCCAGTGGCCAGCGTCTGTTTATCGGTCTGGGCGAGAAGTCACAAGGTCAGCATCGAAGGGGAGAGCCCTCTGCGCGCCGGGTGGCCGTCGGCGCTGGTGGGTCAGGGCGGTGGCGGCCGAAGCTCTGGTTTGTACTGACCGTTCAAGCTGTACCTCTTCCAGCTTAAACACGGTCCTTGCTGAAACAGCTTCACCCCCTTTTTCCCCACAGGAGGACACCATGGAGGTGGAGGAGTTCTTGAAAGAAGCCGCAGTGATGAAGGAGATCAAGCACCCCAATCTGGTGCAGTTGCTCGGTGAGTGCGCGGGGCTCTGGCAAGAGGGCCTCTTCGCTGACCCCCCGGGTGCTGTAGGTGCTGCGGAGGAAGTGAGCGGCCTGCTGCGGCTGCCTGTCCTCTGCCAGCACGCAGCCCGTGGCAAAAAGGAGGCCGATGTGGGACGGCGTGGCGGGGGAGAGGGAGAGTTCCACATCCAGCACGGGGCCCAGTGAGGGGCTCGATCTCAGGACCCTGAGATCGTGACCTGAGCCACCCAGGTGCCCCTGTTTTTTTTCTTAAGGGGGCATCGTTACTACTTTAATTCGATACCTAAAAGCAGTCGTATGCAAATCTCCCATGGCTTCGGAGACAAGAATTTCCTGGCTTCACTGCAGTTGCTCTGTGAGCAGACACCCCATGGGGCGCGAACTGACAGTGCTGTAAGCTGTTTGGCGCGTGCGCGACCCTTGCCTCTGAGCCCAGTGGCAGCCTCTGCTGTTGGAGGTCAGGGGCCCGAGAGGAAGGGAAGAGCGTGGCTGCATCCCTCCCACAGGAACGTGATCACGAGCCACGAGTGCTTGGAACTGTGGCAGAGGTCGGCTCCCAGATTGAGGGGCAGAGACAGAACCCATTTCAGGCGCCCCTTTCTGTCGCGTGGTCCTTTCCGGGGTTGGTACACTTGGCCGCGGAGCAGCACACCAAAGCCCTCAACGTTTCTCTTGTTGGCAGGAGTCTGCACCCGGGAGCCCCCATTCTACATAATCACTGAGTTCATGACCTACGGGAACCTGCTGGATTACCTGAGGGAGTGTAACCGGCAGGAGGTGAACGCCGTGGTGCTGCTGTACATGGCCACCCAGATCTCGTCAGCCATGGAGTACCTGGAGAAGAAGAACTTCATCCACAGGTAGGCGCCTGGCGGGGCAGCCCTCCCCGCAGAGCCACGGAGCGGCCGTGGGGCCAGCCGCCTTTTACAGAGAGCTCCCGCCTACGAGGTCTTTGGGCTCAGCCTCTCACCTTCGTGCAGGCAACACGGTGGGCTGTGGACCACAGGCAGGCGCTGAGCTCCTGACCTTGCCAGCTTCATGCGTGCGTCCAGGACCCAACTCAGCAGGCCTGGACCCCGGGCCTGCCAAGCAGTGGATCCCCGTGCTAAGAACTATTTCCCGCAGCACCGTTTTGGACGACGTGGAATACTAAATGAAGTTCATCAAAGGCATCCTTCCTAATAATCAGCGCGCCCCGGGAAGCGGAGCGCGGCTGGCGCTCGTCAGTGATGCCCTCCTCCCCCTGGGTTGGCGGTGGGGCTGGCGTGGCTCCCACACAGGCTCACGGCCACAGCCGGCGCATGGGCTCTTTGTGTTTCGTGGTTTCTCCCTCCTTTCTCTTTATTATCATTTCATTCTCCACTTAACTTGCTGTCCTCTGGCTCAGGGATGTTTCCGTGATTGTCAGAACTGTGTATGTGTAGTTCTAAATTAAGCGGCTTTGCTGTTTTGAATCCTGGAGTGTTTTGACCTTCAAGCGTGCCACAATTATCTTGGTGTTCGCATTCCTTGCTGGTGGAAATGGCTTCCTGGCAGAGTGACGGCCTAAGCAGGACAGGGCCTGACGGGCTTTGCTGGTGACTTTTATACACGATGTTCTCCACGCCACCGCTGTGAACTTTCCTACCCAATTACCTCAACTATGAAGCCTGTACATGAGATTCCATAGTGGGGAGTAAGAGCAGCATGTGTGAAAGGCTGGCCGTTTCTTGTAAGACAGCTTTCCGGTGCTGCATGAGAGCCTGATTCACGTGCTCCTGTCACTCAAGAAGGTGAACCCTCTGAGGCTGCAAATTGAGATTTCTTGACTTCTGGTTTGCTTTGCATGGCTAGATCCACTCCTTTTTCATTTCATGAACTTAAAATGCTTTACCAAAATCCTATTAGGCCCAAGTCTTCTGCGTTTAATTTCCCCCTGATTGCTGGTGATCGGGCTATCTTAGGCAGACATCGCCTGAAGGTGCTGCCTCTTCTCATTCCTCCGTTCCATTTTGCCTTGTGATTTCATGGTTAGCGTCCACGGACCAGATACCAGACTCCCACCTCCCTGGGACAATCAGGAGGCGAGAGGAAGCTGATTATACGGGAGAGAATTTGTAGGATACGTCCGGATAAGCATCAGGAGGAAATAGGAGAGTGTGAAACACAATTTGGGAGGAAATGCTGTGGGCTTTATTTCTTTTAATTTTTAATTTTTTAAATTTCTTTTCAGTATATGAGAATTCATTGTTTATGCACCACACCCAGTGCTCCATGCAATACCTGCCCTCCATAATACCCACCGCCACTCCTCCCCTTCAGAACCCTCAGATTGTTTTTCAGAGTCCATAGTCTCTCATGGTTCATCTCCCCCTCTAATTTCCCTCAACTCCCGTTTCCTCTCCATCTCCCCATGTCCTCCATGTTATTTCTTATGCTCCACAAATTGTGGGCTTTATTTTATTTTGTCCTTTATCAAGTCTGATGGGCCCAGTGGAGACTTCATCCGATGGAAGTTGAGGATTGGCTGATGCCTTTGTTCCCCTTGCCTGGCGTAGAGCTTTCCTAACCAGGCAGACCCTTGGTGACCACAGATGTGCAGGCATGAGTGGAAGCACTTTACGTATTAACTCACAACCACTCACCACAGCCCTAAGAAGTAGGCGCTGCCGTGATCAACTTCATTTAAGGATGAGGGTAACGGTGGCCCAGGGTGATGAACTTGCCCCTCTCACCTTGGTGGGAACTCAGGTGGATGTGAGGGATGAGCCCTGCTCCCGATGGGGTACTCACACGTGTTCCTCAAGGGACTGGACCCTGTTGTCAGGAGCGCGCCTTCAATCACTGGTGATGGATTGGTGAAGCCGGGAAACCTGGCCTCACTCACGGATAAATGCTTTCTTTTCCCAGAGATCTTGCTGCCCGAAACTGCCTGGTAGGGGAGAACCACTTGGTGAAGGTAGCTGACTTCGGCCTGAGCAGGTTAATGACCGGGGATACCTACACAGCCCATGCCGGGGCCAAGTTCCCGATCAAGTGGACAGCGCCAGAAAGCCTGGCCTACAACAAGTTCTCCATCAAGTCCGACGTCTGGGGTAAGGGCTGCTGCTGCTCCCGGTCAGCCCTCCCCGCCAGGGTGGGCTCCGTCTCCTGTTGTCCTCACTCCCCTTGCCTTTTCTCTGCCTCTTTCTTGCTCCTTCACTTCTTTTCCTTTATTACTGAATTTTTTATTTTTTTCTCACTTTATAGTCTTTACTCCTATTTTCTTTCCAAGGTGAAGTAAAAGCCAGTGTTTTCTTCCAAAATAATTCAGCTTAACTTTTTTTCTCCCCCCTAATTTACCACCTTCATCCAAAGCGTGCTCCATGGGTTTGCAGGGGCAGTTAGCCCGCCCTGCAGGCACACAGGGTCCTCTGAGCAGGGAATGCTCTGTAGTTTGGTTTGGGCTTTAAATAGATTATTGCCCTTGGAAGCTTCATGTGCCAGTACTTAGATGTTTTGTTCGAGAACTTCTTATTGTGGCAGGTCGTAGGCATCCACTGAAGAAGGCGGAGTTGCACCATGGGCCCCGTGCACACATCACCTCCCTTCCTGGCCGTCAGTTGTGGTTCTCCTGCAGCCTTGACCCTGCCCCCGCCCCTGATGGTTTTGAAGCAGATCCCAGATAGTGTATGATTTTGTTCATAAATATTTCAGTAGGAGTCTCTCAAAGATGGCTCTTTATTCTTTAGCCACAGTGCCCCTCCTCCCCATATTGACAGTAATTCCTGAGTATCACGACGCAGTCAGCGTTTGCATTTCCAGCTGAGTCGTAAAAGTCCTACTTCTCCCGGCTGCTTGAGCTGAGATCCGAGCACTGTTCACACCAGGCAGGCGGTCGGTGCGCCCTCTGTGCTGTCCGGTCTCTAAGCTCCCACTCCGTCTTTCCACGGCCTTTGCTGTCTGTTTGTTAAAGAAACCCCCTCTTGTGTCCTTCCACGTCTCCCACATCGCACCCCGTGCTGTTCCTCTGTCTTCCGTACTCTTGGTACGTGCGCAGCTGTGTCTGGTCCGCCGGGTCATCCTCGGGTCTGACTTCTTTCAGCAGGACGGCGTCATGCGCCATCGTGTGCTGTTTAATCACGCCGGCGCTGGGCTCCGTTATCGCTCCCGTGTGATTTTACAGCTCCTGATACCCAGTGCCTAGATCCGCTGATCTGTTAGGGGTTGCCAAGTGGTGCTGCTCTAATTCTGCCACTGCTCATTCACCCGTTAGCTCGGCGCTTCTGTAAGAAGAAACCCTCCTCTACTGTTCGGTGACTTGGGGGTGCAGTTCATTTGGGAAAAGCAGCACCGTTGTTCGCTTCCTTGCTGTTGTTCACCCGTGTTCACACAGACGAGTTGGTTTTTTAATGCCTTCCAGTGATGACCAAGTAGACTTGGGGGTTTTTTCTTTTGTGACACTATTATGATATAGGTGTATATAATATATAGATATGACACGGTTGAGTATGTTTTAACCCACTGCAGTTCTTTTCCTTCTTGATACTCTGTCTCTTGTTTGGCCAGCGGGACTGCAGATCGCTCCTGGTCCTTTTGACAAAACCCTCGTAATCTTTAACAGTGTCCGTCTGGGGCCATAAAGATATGCCAGGTCCGTTCCGTGTCCTGGACCTGAATCACCCATTTCTCCAAGGAGTCCTGGTCCCTTTAATGAGATCTGGAATTTCAGGGTATAATCTGGGCTTTCAGAACTTTCAAATATTTTTTTAAAGACTTTACTTATTTCTAGAGAGAGCATGCACATGTGCGCCAGTGGGGGAAGGGGCAGAGAGAGAGAATCCCACGCAGACTCCATACTGAGCGTGGAGGCCCACACAGGGCTCGATCTCATGGCCCTGCGATCCTAATCTGGACTGAAGTCAAGAGTCCTATGTTAACCAACTAAGCCGCCCAGGTGCCCCAATTTTACATGATTTTTATGAACTGTTTGGAGTTAGAAGGGGCCTTGGAGAGGATACTGTACACGAGAGAGGAGAGGTGGCTTGGCTTAGACACTTAGCTAGCCGATCTCAGAGCTAGGAGTAGAAATGGCCTCTTGACTTCCAGCCGCCGGTGTCCTCCACCGTAAATCCCAGCAAGGTGGTCCCATTACCTCAGAGACACTGGTGGGGCTGATCAACCCAGTTTCTTCCCCCCATTCAGCTTGTTGTGGAGTGGGGAGGGTGTTAACTGAACGTCTCATTCTGTCCTGGGCTGTTGGTCATTAAGAGCCTGGCAGGATGTCCCTGGGCTGCTTCTGAGGGCGGAATTCTCATGTGCGCTACCTAGGTTTAACCAGTTTTAAGTGCAGGATAGTTAAATTTCATACATCTTCAACAAGCTTTGTCTTTTTCTCGTAGCTTTTGGAGTATTACTTTGGGAAATTGCCACCTACGGCATGTCACCTTACCCAGGAATTGACCTGTCCCAAGTGTATGAGCTGCTGGAGAAGGACTATCGCATGGAGCGCCCAGAAGGCTGCCCAGAGAAGGTCTACGAACTCATGCGAGCATGTGAGCCTTCCCCAGCCAGTTCTCAGAGTTCTGTGTGGGCTCTGTGAGAAGTGACCGTGCAGGAGTGTGTGCCCACAGTGAGAGTGCTCCCCTTCCTTCCCTGCCTTTCTTGATCCACTTTCTCCAGAAGCAGCCAGTGTGGCGGTTAGGTACATACTCACCCAGACTGTCCTCACGCTTCTGTACACGTTGTTTATACGTAGCGATTACATGGGAGGGTTTTTTTTTGTTTGTTTCTTTTTAATGCAAAAATGGGATTGATGGATTCCAAACTTGGATTTCTTATTAATAAATACAAATTCCTGGGCCCTACCTTCAAATATTCTGCTGTAGTGGGCAAATGCTCTGGGTGACGTTTAGCTAGTTGGTTTTATTACGTATATATTTATATAAGATCATTCCCTCAACTTTTTTTGCACATAGCTGTATGACAGGCATATCTTTTGGTCCGCATTTCAAAGGTCTCTCTCCCTCTCCCCGCCCCCTTATTTTTATATAGTTGTTTAACTTCCCATTAAATGACTTATTCACCTAGAATCATTTTGGTAGACATTTGGTTGTTTTACATATTTGTTTGGCTTTTGCCATTACTAGGAAAGCAAGGATGGAACCCCCTTATATGTATATCTCTGTGCATTATGCTGGTATTTCTAAAATAAACCAAATAAAACCAAAGTTGGACCGTTGGTTCAGAGGGCTATTTGCATTTTAAATTTTGATAGATTTTACCAAATTGTTTTCCAGGAAAGGTCCCCCCCCCAAAAAAAGGTACCACTTCTCCCACCAGAAGTGTAGGAGAGTAACTGTGTTCTCATCAACATGGGGCTTCGTCAGTCCCTAATCCTCACATTAATCTTGGGGCACCTGAGTGGCTCAGGTGGTTAAGCATCCAACTCTTGATCTCAGCTCAGGTCGTGATGTCAGGGTCCTGAGTTTAAGTCTCACATTGGGCTCCACACTGGGCATGGAGCCTGCTTTAAAAAAAAAATCCTCGTGTTAACCTTGTCTTAATTAACATTTCTTTACTGATGAGGAGTTCAGACTTTGATAACCCAGAAGTAAGAGTGAACTAGAAAGCAAGCCATTTGACTTAGTGATTCTCTGCACTTGTTAGAGTGGGGCTGAGGAAAAGACTTATAAATGTAGTGCTTGCTGTCACATCTCTCTGGGGCATTGCAATCCATATTCCTGCCAATATCTAAAGTCTTTTTGAATTCTTAATGTCTGTAATAGGACACAGTGACATTTGTCACTTTAATTTGTCACAGCAAAACATGATTAGCAGGATTGGTTTTTTGTTTTTTTGTTTTGTTTTGTTTTGTTTTGTTTAAGATTTGAGAGAGCACGAGTAGGAGGGGCAGAGGGAGAAGGAGAAGCAGACTTCCTGCTGAGCAGAGAGCCAGACATGGGGCTCAATTCCGGGCCCCTGAGATCATGACCTGAGCCAAAGGCAGACCCGTATCTGAGCCGCCCGGGCACCCCTGGGGTGCTTCTTTCATTACCAGACTTTCCTTGAGAACTGCTAGACCCCCACTTATTAGCAGGGCCTCATGCATGGTCTGACTGTGTTTCGTCTGTCCAGGTTGGCAGTGGAATCCCTCCGACCGGCCATCCTTTGCTGAAATCCACCAAGCCTTTGAGACGATGTTCCAGGAATCCAGCATATCAGATGGTAAAGTGCCCATTCCTGGGGGTGCCTGCAGTGGAGTGAGAGGTTGGAATGGAAGGGACAGCGAGTTCTCTGAGACCAGAGAGCTGGGCAGAGGTGTTGAGCGTGGAGCTGTCTTGCAGCCATGCCGGACTCTGAGAAGTACCGAGTGTGATTTTCTCAGCATCTATATCTCTTCTGTAACTGTGCATGAATGAGCACTCTTACTCGAGGGGGAAGAAAAGACAGAAAACACCAGCATACCAAACTGACACCATTACTGATGGCTGCTGATTTTTGGTTTGGATTTTGTTCATAGAAGTGGAAAAGGAACTGGGGAAGAAAGGTGTGCGAGGGGTTGCGAGTACTTTGCTGCAGGCCCCGGAGCTGCCCACCAAGACCAGAACCTCCAGGAGAGCTGCGGAACACAAGGACCCCACTGAGGTGCCTGAGACGCCCCACTCCAAGGGCCCGGGAGAGACCGGTACGTCCCCTGCCCCCAACAGACACCCAAGGGTGTCCACACCCTCAGGGCCAGTACAGGCAGATGGGAAGCAGTGAGGGAGCCTGCACAGAAGGGCAGGCAAATTCCTCGTTAGTGATCCAGCTTTGAAAAGAGGAAGGCTCTCCTCCCCACACGGTGTCCTGCCCCTCCTTCTGGGAGTCCTTAGGAACCGTCGGCTTCAGCAGTTACTCTGGTCAGGTGGGCACAGGTGCTTATGAAGCCGACTGAGAACAAACCTGCCTTTTCATGTATTATTCACAGCATTGGTGGTTGCTCTTGCGGGCGCCGGAACAATAATAAATATTGAACCAAACGAAGAGCAGCTCGTTGCGAAGTGCGGAATGAAAGCTCCCTAGAACTGACGGAGCCAGGGGACACCCGCAGTGCGGCGCCGGTGTCCACACGTGGTCTCTGAGAAAAGACTGTCGGCCCCCGTTCCCTAGCCGCTTGGGGGAGGTGGGAGTGGTGCCCGGGAGTCTCTGGGTGTCAGGAGGAGTAACACCCGCCAGCACCGACCTGTGCTCCCCCATCCCCCATGCCCTGCTGTCCTTTGATTTCGGCTGCTCTGGTGCAGCAGCTGCCGCTCTCCCAGCAGAACCCCCAGAATCCAGGTTTTTAGAGGCTCCTAGGGGATGCTCCATGGACCACTGACGAGTGAGTGGGAAGGGGCAGGGCAAAGCCAGAACAATGAGATGTTTAGACATAGCACGATTCCCAAATACTTCTTACCGTGTGCCCATATTAGTTAAAAAACAAAAAAAAGTCACACATGAGTCTAGGTGTGTACACGTACTATGCCCAGACATGTGTTTTATAAAATACAACAGAATTGTACGCTTAGAAGGTTTACGTTAAAAAGTCCAAATTACAGTGTTTTCTTTACACACCCCCGATTGTCTTGCTCACCCACTCTGAAGCCCGTGGCCATAGACTCTCTAGAAGCTCGGCCTGTGTCCTTCTGTTCGTTGTCATGATTTCAGGTAGTTGAGCAGTGGGGATGGGGAGAGGCCGCTGTGGGAACTTCAGGCTTATTAAAAGCCCAGTGATAAGCAATCATGTTCATTTATGCCCATCAGTATTCATCTGAGGGGTGTTTTGATACGTAATCTCGTGGTGAGCCGAGAGTGTCAATTAGCTGTTCAGCATTGAACTAGAGCTGTGCATAATGCATTAGGATTTCACGTTCTTCCAACTTCTGCTGGATTAAAGTTTTGGAGGTCCTCAGCATCCTCTGAGTCAGGTGTCCTGTGTGCCCCCTGGTGTTCTGACAGGTGCCCCCTTGTACCTCTGCTCCAGTTTTAGACGTCCTCTGTGCTGCTCTGGGTGCTGACAGAAAGCTGCTCCTCCCAGCTGCCCTCGGAGGGAGAAGTCTGTCATTCACCATCCAGGAGCTTGGCAACGCCAGAAAGATTTCTTGGGAGCTATTATTCATATATAAAGAATGCCCATTTAAAAATGTGTAAAGGTCACTCCTTGTTCACCAAGCATAGTAGCCCATTGTCACCGTGGTGCACGGCCCCTTCCCTTCGGACCTCACCTCCTAGGACCTCAAATGGCCCGTCCGAGAGGCCCGGGGCTTGACCCTTTGCTCAGCCCTGTGATGGTTTTTATGTGCTGGGGAGTGGTACTGGGGGACTCTACTATCAAGGAAGCCCTGGGGCAGGGATGAGGGGCCCAGCTTTCTGTGCTGCTGTCCTTAGGGAAAGGAGACGCTTTTTCTGATGACATTAACAGTGGTGACAGCAGTTAGTGAGAGATTACTGCCAGTAGCTGGGATGAACGCTTTACGCTCACTGCGTTCCGTTCGCTCCACGACACTGCGGGTGCGTTCTCTTCTCCGTTTCATACGTGAGAGAGCTGAGGGTGCGCGCAGAGGTGCCCCTGGCCCAGGCCAAGGCTGGGGAATGGCAGAGCCGGCGCTCACGAGCAGGCCTACCAGAGCCCAGACCCTTGGCTGCTCCTCTGTAGAGAACAGGTCCAGCCGCAGGTTCCCCTCGACGAAGAAGCCTCTGGTCTGGAGGCATTAAAACTCTCCCCGCTGTGTTTCAGAGCCTCTGGACCACGAGCCTCCTGTGTCTCCACTGCTCCCTCGAAAAGAACGAGGTCCCCAGGATGGTGGCCTAAATGAAGATGAGCGCCTTCTCCCCAAAGACAAAAAGACCAACTTGTTCAGTGCCTTGATCAAGAAGAAGAAGAAAACAGCCCCGACCCCCCCGAAACGCAGCAGCTCCTTCCGGGAGATGGACGGCCAGCCCGAGCGCAAGGCGACCAGCGAGGAAGAGGGCCGAGAAACCAGCAATGGGGCGCCAGTCCTCACACCCTCGGACGCGGCCGAGCCAGCCAAGTCCCCAAAACCCAGCAGCAGGGCTGGCGTCCCCAACGGAGCCTTCCGGGAATCAGGAGGTGCAGGCTTCCGGTCTCCCCACCTGTGGAAAAAGTCCAGTACACTGACCAGCAGCCGCCTAGCAGCCAGCGAGGAGGAGAGTGGCAGCAGCTCCAGCAAGCGCTTCCTCAGGTCCTGCTCTGCCTCCTGCGTGCCCCACGGGGCGAAGGACACAGAGTGGAGGTCTGTCACACTGCCTCGCGATCTGCAGTCCACGGGGAGGCAGTTCGACTCGTCCACGTTTGGAGGGCACAAAAGCGAGAAGCCAGCTCTGCCTCGGAAGCGGGCAAGTGAGAACAGGTCCGACCAGGTGACCAGAGGCACGGTGACTCCCCCACCCAGGCTGGTGAAAAAGACTGAGGACGCAGCAGATGAGGTCTTCCGAGACGCTGGGGAGTCCAGCCCAGGCTCCAGCCCTCCCAGTTTGACTCCAAAACTCCTCCGCAGGCAGGTCGCGGGGGCTCCTTCCTCTGGCCTTCCCCACAAGGATGAGGTCGGGAAGTCTGGTGCCTTGGGGACACTTGTCGCAGCTGAGCCGGTGCCTGCCACCAGCAGAGCAGGGCCAGGAGCATCTGGGGGGGCCAGCAAGGCCCCCACCGAAGAGCCCAGAGCGAGGAGGCACAAGCCCTCTTCCGAGTCCCCAGGGAGAGACAAGGGGAAGCTGTCCAAGCTCAAGCCTGTCCCGCCGCCCCCGCCACCGGCCTCCGCTGGGAAAGCCGGGAAGCCCTCTCAGAGCCTGAGCCAGGAAGCAGCGGGGGAGGCCGGTGCTGGTGGGAAAGCCAAAGCCGCGGCCGTGGTTGTGGATGCTGTGAACAGTGACACCGTCAAGCCTGGGCCACCGGGGGAAGGCGTCAAAAAGCCTGGGCTTCCGTCCATGCCAAAGCCACAGTCCAGCAAGCCGACAGGGACCCCAGCCAGCCCAGCTCCCGCCCCCTCCGCCTCGCCATCAGCATCTTCTTCCCTGGCCGGAGACCAGCCAGCCTCCACTGCCTTCATCCCGCTCATATCGACCCGTGTGTCTCTTCGGAAAACCCGCCAGCCTCCAGAGCGGATCGCCAGTGGCACCATCACCAAGGGCGTGGTCCTGGACGGCACGGAGGCTCTGTGCCTGGCCATCTCCAAGAACTCTGAGCAGATGGCCAGCCATAGCGCCGTGCTCGAAGCCGGCAAGAACCTCTACACGTTTTGCGTGAGCTATGTGGATTCCATCCAGCAAATGAGGAACAAGTTCGCCTTCCGCGAGGCCATCAACAAACTGGAGCATAATCTCCGGGAGCTTCAGATCTGCCCGGCGACAGCAGGCAGCGGCCCGGCGGCCACTCAGGACTTCAGCAAACTCCTCAGCTCCGTGAAAGAGATCAGTGACATCGTACAGAGGTAGCAGGAGCCAGGCGTCAGGGCAGCCGGAGCCACCGGCCGTGCCTAAGGGCTTCCCCACACCTGCCATGGTGGCTGACACGAGACCCGTGAGTTGGGACGTTGGCCCGGGAACGCTGTGCCGGACGGAGCCAAAGGTCACAGTGGAACACAGCCCTACTACCTATGTCTTGCGCCAGCTGTCCTCCTGCACTTTCCCCCTCCCCAGCCCGGGCTCCTCAGCCTCCTCTGTGCCGAGTTCTATCTGTGGAGTTCCTGCTCTGTGGACTTAAACTGAGCTGTTTGGGCCAGGTGGGAAAGCAGATGAGTATTTCTTTTTTTCTCCTCTGGCTCTGCCTTCTCCTCCACTTACCCCAAGAACGAGTACCCTGAACAGGAATCTTGTCACCAAGGCCTAGGAACTGTCCCCTCCACTTACCCCGTGGAGGGAGCCTATGCATGCCTCTTACTGTGCCTCCTGCCCTGAAGACGCGTTTCCAGAACTCCATCCTGGAAAGTGCTGCTGGCTGGTCACTCTGTCCTCCGTCGCTGCCAGGCGCTGGGGCCCTCACGTTTCCTTGTGTGAAGGTCACCTCTTGATTTGGGCAGGTAAAACAGGGTGCTAACCAACCGGCCTTTGGGTCCCGGGACAGGTGGGGAAGCCAAAGGGGCCCATGGTGTGGGAAACCGTCCTTGGCATCCATTCTCGGTGCCTTGCTGTCTTGTGACAGGCACTGCTCACCCAGGATGGAAAGCTTGAGTCTTAAGAGTAGCAGGGGACTGAGTACCAGCGGATGGGAGGCAGGAGCGATGGCCAGCGGGGTAAACAGCTGGTGCCCAGGTGGCCTGGGGCTGGGCCTAGGGAGGGCTGCTTTGGGCCCAGGACACCTTCCTTTCAGGTTTCCAGGTGCCCAAAAGAGGCACTGGGTCTTGATTTCTGACCAGTGTCGTCCTGCACCCTTGTACTCCTCTGAGACAGAGTAGATGCATGCAGAGCTCTTTTCCTGTGCGACAAGCCAGTCCTTAGTTGTCTGGAGTTCTGGAAGGATTTTGTGGCTCCGCCCTTAGCCCAGCCACCTGTGGTACAGCAGGACCTGCCGCCGGCCACCAGCACATGGGAGGAAAAGACTGTGGAGCCAAAGCAGCAGCCCCTTTTCGCCGTGCACGAAGGGGCAGACATCCCGTTGAATCACCATGAGCAACACATAGCCGCCCGTTTCTGCTGGGGTTATCAGGGATGAAGACCGCAAACAAATGAAGCCCCAGAATGTGTCTCGAAGAGCAGGCATTTGTCTGCTCTCCCCAGGCGGCCTGGACCAGGCTCGTGGGGCAGAAGCCCAGGCCATCTTGAGCTTGACCTGGAGCAGCTACTGAAGAGTGGGCAGGCGCCTGCCTGGGCCTCGCGGCAGGCCCGGGAGGGACCACCTCGCACCCCCAGGGGTGCACACCTCCTCGCACCGTGACCGCACACAGGCCCCGTTTTTATGCTCCTCACCTAGACTTGTATTTTATTTCCCTGGTAGAGACTGTTGCGTTTGGATCAACTTAACGCTGTCGTCACGGCGCGTCACCTCTTTGCCCCCCCAGCCTACTGGGTTGCAGACTGGGGGAGGTGCTTGAACACCACCAGCGGCCTTTCAGACAAAGCAGAACGGACCCCCCGGGTTCCCTCAACTGCGTGTTTCCATGAGGTACTGGCCTCTGTTCACATGATTTGCCACTATATTTTACATTTATACCTTGATATTACACTCTTTTATAAATGACATGTAAATAGTTTTCCACTATTCTCTCTTCTCAAATGCTTCTAGTTGTCTTTTTTTTTTTTTTTTTGTCGCGTACATTTTGTTTCTGTATATGATTCTGTGGTTTTTGAATCCGCATCTTTCTGTAGTATTTTTTAAATAAATGTTTACAACATTAGAACTCGGGCAGATTGCTCTGGTCTGTACTTTCTCCCTGTTGTTCTGAGCCGTGGTGTGCATGTGGTGGGACGGGGGTCCCTGTTTCCCTGCAGGGGGACCAGAGGCTCGGTGGTGGGTCCGCAGCACAAATCTCGCATCTTCCTCTGCCTTCCGAGAGCAGTTTCCTGGTCCTGGTCTCAGGCCCTTCTTGTGCCCTTGACACTGATTCTGCCAGCAGCCCTGGGAGTGGGCTCTGCCACCAGGGGGGCCACATCTGACTGGTGTGGGAAGGGAAGAGTCCAAGGGCTGTGCCCGCTGTCAGGCTGTCGCAGCATCACTGAAGTGGGGAGGCGGCATCCCGGACTCCGCTGGACTGGAAGTGTTAGTCCCTCCACGGGTGTGCTTTCCTCTGCCTGCGAGCCCGCCCCTGTGCTCCCCGCCCCCACCCCAGCCCCGAAGCACCCCTTGCTCACTGTGGTCCACGCACCCCGTGTCTTATTCTCTGTGTACAGGAGGGGCAGGGATGCTGGCCTCGGTGATGGAAATGCCACCCGGCGGGCCATGTCCTCTCCCAGCCCCCCACCAAGGGGACTGAGGGGGGCCCGTGAGGCCATTCTCCCCATTGGGGCCTCCATTTAGCGCCAGCTGACAGCTTGGAAAGTGGAAGTCAGGGGAGTCAGTCGCGCTGTGTGATAATGATGCTTATTAGGCGGCAGACTTGTCAGAGGATCCGGATCTGCTCAGCGAAGCATGGTGAGGAGCACGGCGCAGTGGGGGCTCAGCACCGCGGCGCAGCACGTCAGGCAGGGGAGGTGAGGACGCGGCCTGGGCTGGGTGCTGGGACCTCACGGAGCACGCACGCCGAGGGGCTGCCAGGCCTTCTCCCTGTTTCCCGGGTCAGGGGCGTCACCTCGAGGGACAACTCTTGAGTTGGAAAGAAGACGCAGGGGCGCCTGGGTGGCTCAGTGGGTTAAAGCCTCTGCCTTCGGCTCAGGTCATGATCCCAGGGTCCTGGGCTCGAGCCCCGCATCGGGCTCTCTGCTCAGCGGGGAACCTGCTTCCCTTCCTCTCTCTCTGCCTGCCTCTCTGCCTACTTGTGATCTCTGTCTGTCAAATAAATAAATAAAATCTTAAAAAAAAAAGACGCAGAGTGACCACGATGACAGGCATCGCCGATGGCTGCTCCCTCCATGCCGGACAGGCCGGTCCCAGAGTCTTCACGGCACCTCCTAGGCAGAGCGCGTTACCCCACTTTCTTGACACCCAGCTGTGAGGTTACCGCTCGTCATGGCTCGCGCGTAGCGTCACGTGCCAGTCACTGTGGCGGCTGTGCCCATGGGAAATACGGGTCTTTTCTCAATTAGGAATCTCGCGTGTGCCGCTCACGCTTCAGAAACTTTCTTGGGTCTGGAGGTTCTGGAACAGCGGTTCGTAACTTGGTTAGGCTGCAGAAGCCCTGGAGAACTTGGCGCACCTGGCCGCGGCCCCAGGAGAGAGCACAGAGGTGCGTACATGGTCTTCGGAGCCTTGCAAGGCCTGTCCTCGAGGCCCAGAACCGGGGAGCGGGGTCAGGCCTGCCATCTGGGCCAGCAGCTGCTGTCGCTGTCGTCCGAATGAAACAAGCCGAAATGTCCGAATGGGAGCGAGCAAGCACTCCCAGAGCCTCGGAGCGCAAACAGCCGAGAGGCGCGCCGCGCAGCGGGTGCCCGCAGGGTGGGGTAGGGTGAGCGGTGGAGACGGACGAACTCGTCGCAGCCCGGTGTCCGTGAGCCTCGCCAGTGCAACGTGAGCGGGAGCAGCCGGACGGTCAATCGTGCTGCCAGAAGCTTCCATCTGTTTAAAGCAGCACGCTGGTCTGTGGTTTGGTGTTGGAAGTCAGGACGGAGGGTCATGCCTGGTTGGGGCGCAGGGGAGCTCGGGGGGGCAGATGGTGCTCTGTTTCCTAGTCTCGGTCACGCTGGCTGATGGGTGTATCACTCGGGGACAGTTTATTGAACTGTACACTCAGAATTGGAGCACATTCTCCGTGTGTGTCAGATTTCAATGAGAGGTGTTTGCTTGTTTGTTTAAGATGTATTCGTTTGAGAGAGAGCGAGAGCATGAGCAAGGAGAGGGAGGGACAAAAGAAGCAGACTCCCCGCGGAGCACAGAGCCTGACGCAGGACTCGACTCTGGGACCCCAAGATCATGACCTGAGCCGAAGGCAGATGCTTAACCGACTGAGCCATCCGGGCACCCCTCAGTGAGCGTTTTCTTAAAATTACAGCTCATATGCATAAGCTGTGCACTACAGATGTGCTTTGTGTGACCACGTGAAACCCTCTGTTTCTTTAATGAGGGAGGTTCTGTCCCTGTCCTCATTTAACATGCCAGGAAGCTGAGACTCAGAGATGTGAGGCGGCTTGCCCGAGGTCACACATGCCACCATACGCCTGCTGTGCCGGACCAACTTGTTGGCAGTGCAGATGGCCCCAGCATGACCAGCAGGGCTTGCACCAGAGTCCGGCTCCTCCCTCTATCATGGAGTGGAAGAAGTCAAGACTTAGAGCCAGCCCAGCTTCTCGGGCGTCAGGATGAGCTACAAGAGATACTCCCAGACTGAGTGTCCTGAGGAACCGATTTTTTTAAATGTTCTCGGCACAAGAGGCATCAGGTGGGACAAGACTGAGCAACCGTCGTGTCTGTCCATGCCTGTCCTCACCGCTGATGGCTTCCCACCCTTGTGGGCGGGGCCCCAGCCCCCTGCCTGGAGGGTGACAGCATCTTTTCTGGGTTGGGGTCTTGAGTGGACTCTGTTATCCAGTGTCTCCAGCCCTGGGACAAGGGACGAGCTGGTGGCTTGTTTACTAGGACGGCTGCTGGATGACTCGCTGCCCCATGAGCCTCTTTCTTTCTTACATGTTTTTAGGAATATTTCAAACACACGGGAAAATGCAAGCAAAAACATTCCCCCGGCAGTTTAATAACTAAATAGCTTTTAGATCTGCACCGCAAGAGGAAGGCTTTTGTGTATGTCTTGTGTAAACAGTGAAAGGATGCAGACAGCTCTCGGGCGCCTGGGCTGGGGGAGACAGCATTGCCACGCCAGGTGGAGCGAACCCAGACTGCCCAGAGGAGCTTAATCTGTGCTGGCAAAGTCAAGGTTTTCCGAGGAGCCTCACCTTTCACTAATCTAGAAAGTGATCTTACCCACCAAGGAGGGTGCAGGTGGCACTTCAGGCCCCCAAACCTCGAGCAAGCCTCACTGGGGTGGAGCGAGGGTTAAAGAGGAGAGGTAGCCAGATACAGCGGGAGGGATTTAACAGAGCAATGCCCTTAACAGTTCGGTCGTTTGGATTTTCAGGGTTATTGAGCTCGAATGTACAAGCAACTGGAAGGAATAACTTTGTCGTTGATTGCCGCTGAACGATGAAAGTCTAATGATAGGATATACTCTCCTGAAAGCCCTCCCCACTCCTTTATCTCTGATTTCTCTGAGGTTAATCTCATCCTACGAAATTAGAAACCAGCCGGTATATCCCCAAAGTGTGTGTAAACATGTGCGGGAGCATCTCAGCCTCGGTGACCTCCAAGTGCTTGTAATCGGTGACCACAGAGGCGGCTCCTTTTGTTCTAAGAGGAGAAACGGGCAGGCGAGGCTCACCCAGGGACCCTGCTGCAGAGCGTCCCTCTGCCCTTGGCCTTTGGTGTGTCCTGTCTCGCCTGGTCTTTCCACGAGCCCTGTTCTCTGGCTTCTCCCTACATGAATGAGCAGAGGGCGGAGTGATCCATCTTGCAGTTCCCACCCCCAATGCCCGCCCCCCCCCCAACAAAGTGGAAGTGAGCACAGACGGGTGAGAGCCTGGGCTGGGATCGCACTTCCTTCATTTGGCCACTTTCCTCACAGCCGGATCTGTCCTTTATGGACACACTGGGACTCATTTTCTTGAGGTTTGCCCTCTGTGGCTTGAGGGCTGAGTGTCTGCTTCTTTTATCAACAGACGAAGACCCTGGGATGTGTTCTATCCCCGTCAGACTGTCACAATAGGAGGAGGCATCCTGGCTCATCCCTTCCCTGGACAGTGATGGAGGCCAAAGAGTATGACGTGCCTCCCAGGCTCGGTGTCGCTGTCTGGCCCCTCTCCCGGTGGGGCCCGTGTGCCCAGGCGTAGGGCAGAAGCAGGGAGGAGCTCCGGGAGAAGGCAGCTCGCTTTAACATAAGGTGATGTTCTGATTCCTGTCTTCCCGGCCCGTCCTACCACCCAATTTCCGCACTCCCCGTCAGCTTGGCTCTTTTGTAGCTCCGATCTGTCACCCCTTAATAAAGTGGCTTTCTGGCTGCCGGGGATTGAGAGCTGCTACCGGGGAAGGTAAGTCACTAATAGAATGGAAAACACTGTGAAATGCTCCAAGGTGCCAAGCTGGGCCCAACCCAGTGTGGTTCTAAAAGGCTAATAAAAATCCACCAATTAATTGTGACAGCTCAATGGAAAATTATTCAATTGTGAACAGGGCCAAGCAGCAGCTTGAAAGAAGGAGGGGAGATGTTGCCATAGTAACATCAATCCAGGTTCTCATCTCAGCGGTGGAAGCCAGCCCGGGAGTGAGCAGCATCAGACTGGCGTAGCCGACGCGGGGTGGGATGCAGAGCACAGCAGAGCAGCGCCCGAAAGAGATGCTCTTCCTCGCCCCTGGCTCACAGCCACTCCAGGCTGAGGGCGGGCCTCCCCTGGGGTAGAGAAGTTGTTTTCAGAATGCTCTTTGCTATGAGAAAACCAGGGAGGGAGCAGTCGAGCGCAGGAGGAAAATGCACCCTGTATTGTGTTTCCCTCTACCCTTAACCGTGGGTATTTTACCAACTGCCAATTAAGGGGCTGCCGGGACAGGTGTGGATACAGGTAGCACAAGCTCCATGTCCCCAGAGCGGAGGCAGTGGCAGCTCAGGAAAACG